TCGGATTTTACCCAATGGTCTGGACCTATTGGTGTTGAATCCATAGATCGTAGTACCCATGGAGGCCAGCTTACTGGCCAGTATTCCGAGACTGTACATCAATCTGAGTGGCATGATGCTAACAACGGAACCCGGGTCGACTTGGATCCGATTAACAACGCTGGAGCCAATGTGCCCGGTGAAATACAAGGGCCGGTCATGCTTTGAATTCTTTGTCTGCATGTCCTCCTTGTGAAAGAAATGTAGAAAAAGTAGTGTGTCACGAGGTTGCAATGTTGGACTGACAGCTCTGGTTCTTCAGGGGATGACTTGGTCTGAATTAGGAAAATGTTAGAATTGGCCAAGGCTTCTTGCAATGCCTCTCTTGTGTCTTTTGAAAGATGCAACAGCTCATATAAAGTCAATCTAGCCAGTATATTAGCTAATTTTGTCATGATATCAAAGCGATGCGGAGTGCTCGAACTTCCCGGTTTGTCTCTTTCAATCGGTTGATTGAATCGAGACTGCTTTGGGTTTTGAATCTTTTGGTATAAGGGATCTTTCTCCTTTTACTTTTGTTGAGTCTTCTCAGCAACTACGAGGGGGAGTTATGGCCACTTCTATTTCATCTAATATTTTGGAAGGAACATTTCGGGTCACCCCCTACTCGGCTAACTGATTGGAGGCACTCGGGTAATTGAAATGGTATTTGTTCCCACTCCGGGTAGCAAAGAATTCTTGCTCATCTTTGGAGAGTGGGAAAGCAGGGATTCTTTCATTGTTTCCTTCTAGAATGGCCGAGGCTCCACAACAGGACTTTCCTTTGCCTTTTGATTTCTTATTAGACGAGGCTCACCTATTGTTCATCTTCAATCAGATCGGGATGGACTCAGAGAATCTCATCATTTGGGGTTGTGTGTGGCACAAGCCCTTTCTGGCATTGTTTATGAGGATCGTCATTGACGGTCTTCACCGCTATGTTTATTATGGGTTCGGGCTGAAACCAATTCAGGAGAACAGATCCGAAGCTGATTGACACTACGTTCGCACAAACCATCTTCTCCTTAGATGGTTTCATAGTAATGACCCCAACATCAAAAAAAGCTTGAATTTTGTCTTTAAGGGTATAACAGGACTTGGTAGGGTGGTGAGCCACTCTATAGAACACACAGTACTTCAGGTCATTAACCCTTTTAGCATCTTCCTGATCTTGGATTGGAGGTAACTTAATCTTGTTGTTCTTTATGAGGTATTTAAAAATACCGGGGACTTTGTCTTCTTTAAATGAGTAAACGTTTGGGAATTTTGGTTCCAAGGTCTTTTGTTTTTGAGGTTGTCGTTTCCACTACGACTGCTGAGACGCCTTTTTTTGTTGCTGATGCGGTTGCGGTTGTAGCTCAAACGTTTGTTTCGCATCCACTACGTTCACTTGTGCTTTTCCTTTACCCTGAGGGATAAAATTCTGCTGTGGAGTATATGTCATCGTTTGACCTCTTTAGGCCTTCTTCCTCTTGAGGAAACGTTTAGCTCGTTCTCCTTGCACCTTCAAATCCTTCCAAGTCCTGGATAACGCCATTCCCATGGCGTCAAGGATATCTAATGAAAGATTGTTATGATAGGTTTCCAGGATGAAGTCCTCGCTGACCGGATCTCGATAATTCATCGCTTTGTTCCGGAATCGTTTGATGAAGTTCTTAACTAACTCTCCGTCCTTCTGTTTCTTATCGAATAACATTCTGGTTGATACCTCTATATCGTCATCGAAGAAATTTGCAAGAAACATGTTCTTCATGTCGTCCTAACTGCTAATACTCCCTGCTTTAAGACGATGGTACTAATCGAAGGCTGCCCCACGAAGGGTACCGATGAATGACCTTACCATCAAAGGTTCATTATCGAAAATTATTCCCAAGTGAGACTTGAAGTATATTAAATGCTGAGTGGGGGAACCCTTTTCGTCAAACAGTGTGAAGTTGCTCAAATTAAACTTCATCGGGTAAGAGATTGATTCTCACTCTCTTGGCTATGGACACGGTATTTCGGACTTCTTTACTTCTTGAGCACTCATCAACGCATTGATTTTGCTCTCTAGATCCCTCATTTTCTTATCCTCGCTCGTATCTTTCTTTGAGCGATCCTGGGGAGAAGCGACGTAATCATCTTTTGTATTATTATCATCCAAGGGACCACCCCCAGCATTGTTATCCACGGGAGGGGTACCCATGTTGATATTCTCATCCGCTTTCCGATCATTATCAACTTGGTTAGGATTATTATGACGGTTGGATTCTCCCTGTTGATTCGTCAGCGTCGTAATTTGTTGGTTGTGCATTTCTCTTATCTCTTGCATAGCCATTTCCATTTCAAATTTGAAATTCTCTTTCTGCTTGGTTAGAGCATCCTTGAGAATTTTAGCCATTTGCTCTATGTTTATCATAAATGATTCATAGGATTATCATGCGCTTGATGTTGTATCATCGGAAGCCATTACAGAACAAGCGTCTGACGTTTCGTCATTTGAGGGTAGTCCTTTTTGCATTCTTTGGTAATCCTTTTGTCTAATGGTTCCCGATCGCAATCGGGTCATACACTAGGATATTACTGAAAACTGATAGGGACTAAAGTATCATGTTGAACTCCCCTTACTAGTCATGTTGACGGACACTTCTGGAAATTCATCGTCTCGAGCGGCTTATTTCTTCCTGCAGAAACGCCTTGGTTTGTACTCAGACGCTCCGGTAGAGATTCTTTCAAACACCGAAACTCTCTTCAGGGTAGTCTTGGGACAGCAACATTCTGACTATACTGCCTTGATAATTTTGGCACACAGATAATGTGAGTCCGTTTCTCAGTTACTCCTTTTCCGAGACTTGTTCGTACCCCCAGCCTGATAGTACGACTCATCGGTCAGATGACCAGAGCAACCCATCATGTGTTGGCACGACCGCCTAGGTATAACGTCATCGTCAGATGAATATGCTTTCCTCTGGGAAATTCAACGCTTTGTTAGCGTCTTCAGGAGTCACATGTTTGAGGCTACGTTTTTGTGAGCGTAGGATCTCAACAGGCTCCTAGACATTAACACACAATTCAATGCGGTCAGTTACAGAAGCCTTCCCATTATGTGATCTCTTCCACTGCTTAGGAGGATGATTACGACCCTCATCCTGATAAACTGATTAGGATTCATTCAACGGGTCTAAACGTTCTTTAACCGGGCTTTTGCCTCTACCCGCGTGTGAAGGACCAAGACGATACGTGATCTTCATCTTAAATCAAGATAAGTCCACACTTTGGTTCAAATATGAACCACCATTTGGTGGCTCGGCTCAT